AATAGAATGTAAAAGACAGAATTACAAATATCAGAACTTACCCCTTTCCTACATCCAGATTTGTTGTGTCATGTTTGTTGGCAGTTTGAACAAGTCATCTTTACCCCTTTCTTTGATAGTTTACCATGCTTTTTTCTTGGTTCATCCTTGGCTTTTCTCCTACATTTCTTTGATCTACCTGGCATAGGTTTAGGTTCCGGAGGCTCTATAGATGGATTTGTTGAATCCGACCACATCTTCATGTTGGGAATTGGTTGAATGAAATACTGGTAAGCTTTAAGGAAAGTTTCCTTCCTATACCAGTGGGCAACATAATCATCTGGGTCCATTTCTCTATCATAGAATGCATATACTGCATGTTGACATGGAATGCCCCTCAACATCCATGATCTACAAGTACATGTCATGGTCCTAAAATCAACAATGAATCTGTACACACCTTCATCAACTTCAAACCCATGTTCTGCATTCCACATAACCTTACACCTCCTAGAAAGGGCTTTGTTCTCTTCCAGTATCATCCTAGCCATTGGTGCAATGTCAGTAACCCAAGTCTCATCAAACTTCCTCATTTCAATGGTCTTATTCATGATTTTATGTCTAATTTCTTCCAACATAGTTATAACAGACTTGTGCCTAGAACCTACTATCCAAGAATTGAATGTTTCACACATGTTATTCTCAATGACATCACACTTTGAATCTTCTCTAAAGTATGCCCTACACCAATACTCTTTATCATACTTCAACAAGTTTTCACATATCTTATAACCAAGCTTATTCATTGCTTCCAGTCCTTCCTTGAATTTTACTTCATAAGATGCTTTGGCACATCTCCAGAATTATTTCCTCCTTTCTTCACCTCTCCAATTCTTGGACCAGTTAGACCAAATGTGTCTAGCACACATTCTGTGTTCTGACATTGATAGTAATTCCTTTATAGTTGGTACTAGTCTCTACAAAAAATAGTAATAACTGTTAGTGGACAGTATATATAAAGCAAGAAAAAGAAAAATTAAAAGTTGATTGTAACTTTACCTTTTGCATATCTGACATAACAGTTAAGCCAACACCATCTCCCAACTGTAAATCTACAATCAAACATGTGATGAACCAGCTCGAGGAGTGTTTTTTCTCTTGATCAATTACAGCCCATGCAATATGAAATATTTAATTGTTCTTATTTCTACCAACTGCAACAAGTAACTCACCCTTGCAGATTCCCTTTAGAAAACAGCCATCAAATCCTATAATTCTTCTGCACCCTTCTAACCATCCTCTTTTCAAAACATCTAAACATAGATATAAATAGACAAACAGATTCTTGTCAGGAATAGTCTTACTATCTGTTCTGATCCAGCATGAACTCCCAGGATTTGTTTGCTTAATAATATCAGCATAATCAGCAAGTCTGTTAAATTCCATCCTCCAGTCACCCATGAATTGACTTATCACCCTACATTTAGCCCTGTAACAAATCGCCCTTCCAACATACAAACCTAACTTATCCCTGACCAAATTCTGAATCTCCCACAACTTAATATTTGGCTGGAAAATAATCCTATCTTTATACTTATTGACAATGTACTTAGAAGTACATAATTTGTTCTTATTTTTGGTGTTGCACTTATGAGCTGGATGGTACTTCTTCACAGTAAAGTCACATGAATCTCCATAATTGCTTGCATATAATTTCCAGTTACACTTGGCTCCTTTACACTTAACTCTAACCCTATCCTTTTCATTAGGCCTAATTGTTAGTTGCACTTTGTTCTCCACAGCATATGAAGCTACTGCTTTTCTAAACTCTACAGTATTTTCAAATACCATACCAAGCTCAAAAATAGCAAGGTAACCGTCAGGGTCAAACCTTACCTTTTTACTTCTCCTTCTAGGAGGTAAGTCAATACCCCTTTCAGCTAAAACATCTAACTCATATGTGCTATCATCACTTCCAATATCAGAACTGGTGTAGTAGTCTTCATCCCTTCCTAATTTTCCAGCAAACATGTCCTCCTTAGATGGTCTGCCAATATCCTCAAAGCCTTTATCTATTCCAGCTTCTCCCACAATAATCTCTTCAGTTGTAGTAGGTTTCTTTCTTTGTTTCTTCTGCTTTTTCTTCTTTCTTCTTTCATGCCTTAATGAAGTGAGCTCTTCATTCACATCACTATCATCTTCATCAGGAATGTTATCTAATCCAGACTCGCTACTTGACAGATCTGATGCCAAACTAGCATCTATGTTTGTTGTTTCTTTAGCACCTTGTAAATTCTCACCTGCAACCCCAACATCAGCTAGATTTTCCTCAGGCACAGATGTGTTATCTGCAGCACTTTCTTGGACATTTATATCCTCTGGAACAGTAGATGTTGCCCTACCCTCTTTATTTAATGTATTTTTACTTGGTTCAACAACTTCTGGCCCACATAAAAGGCCACACGGGACAGTCTCATCAAGCAACACAGGCTCATTAACTACATGCTTAATATACAAATCTAAATGATCAAGATGATTAAGATGACAAACTATATTATACAGTTGTTCATCATTTTCAATCAAGACAAAGTCATTAGATTTAGGATTAATTAAATAAAAACCCTTTACCTCAGCATAACCCATATCCTTTGTGTAGGACAGAAGCTCAAAAAGAGAAAAGTGGTCCTTGTCTATCATGTGACCATCCTCACCCCTCTCTCCTACATATCTTGGGACAAGATCCTTGACAATATGTCCACCATGGTGAAAATCGACAAGAATATATTCGTCTGCAGACATGTCTAGACCCTCGAAATTTCAGTCACGACCAACTCTAGTCACGACCAACTCCAGTTACGACTAACTCTACTCACCACCATGGTCAAAAGAAGCAAACGATTACCTGTATTAGTAGTATAATGGCCAAATAGTTGACGGAGAGTTGAATCTAACTCAAAATCGATGAAGATTCCACCGGGAATCGGTCTCAATATAGTTTATTAGGCTAAAAAAAGGGGGATTTTGGGTGGAAGATCGATTAAGTGAGGCGAGGTATGTGGGTAAGGTAAAATCGGAGTTTTTTTTATCCGACATGGATAAATAAACACGTGTCAGACTATTATTGGTATGTTATTCCATGTGGGAAGCGTTTAAAAACATGCGCTTAAGTTTTTACAGCCCGATCATGCATTGTGTTTAAATGGTATAGTCCAAAGTACAGTTAAAGTGTTCAATAGGAAAAGAGCTAAGTTAAGGTGTCAAAATGAAAACTCGAGCCAAGTTTAAGGGGCCGTACACCTATTTGGCCAAAAAATAACATCATCTTTCTATAACAATCATTCACTATAAAAGTCATTTTTTTTCTCGAAATCAATTTTATGTTATGTTATAATATATATTTTCTATAACATCGCTTCACTATAGCAGCCAAAAAATATCAGAACAAATGAAGTTGTTATAGAGATGTTTGATTGTAATATATGTTCTCTATAACAATACTTAACTATAGCAGCCTAAAAACTTCGGAACAAACGAGATTGTTATAGAGAGATTTGACTGTATTGGTTGTTCAAGAAGGCTATGAATATTAGCTTGTTTATGGTTAGATTTTCCATCTTGGACTTCTTTCTATTTTTAGCCTGTTAGGTTTCTATTTTGGGGCTTAATTAGGCCTATTTTTCTGAAATCCTAAAAATACATTTTTTTTTTGTGTAATATTGCTAAGTTCGGTTTGTTGTTGATTGAAACACTTGAGAGGTTCATAGAGTAAGTTGTAGACCTTAGTTCATCAATTAAGGTATATTTTTTCTTGCCAATGGTTTTGAGTTTTTATTCAAACTTGTGGTTTGATCTTCGTAAAAGGTTTAAATCTCTTTCTAAATTAGTTTATCATCTAATTTAGTTGTAATTGTCTATCTTTCCCAATCATAAACTTTATACAGCAAAAACGGGAAAAAATAACAATTGCCTATCATAATGTTATTAGAAATTATCAATATGTTGGCTTAAGATGACCATAATACATTCACCTCAACTACCAACTTAACAAAGGTCGAGAAGAAAGAGGGGTTCAATTTTCATCAGCAACCAAAAAAAAAATCTCACCAAAATTTTCTTTTTTCTTTTAATTTTTATGTTTCTTAAATACCGATTCAGTTTAAAAGATATTAACATCGGTTTGCTCAAGGACTAAAATAACACATTTAGGCCGTGTTTGGTACGAAGTTTTCTAATTTTCTAATGTTTGGTTGGCTAAAATATTTTGAAAAATATTTTTATCATTAACGGAGGAGAATGAGTTCCCTACCAAAAGTCTTTTTTTTTTTTTT